TTAATAGCAGCATGAATCCTAAATCTTATAAAATAATTAATTAAATATTCTTTATTAAATAGGGRACATGGATGATTAAATACAATATTAGTAATACTTAGCTTTAACCTTATACCTACTTCCTTGTCAATAGATACATGTGGAAATCTATGAATAAAAATATCTTCGTAAAATGCATATTGTGGCATCATTAAATTTCCAAACATTGATTTTTCTGTATTTTCAATATAAGTGTAATGTTCCAAACTACCCAAGGGGTCTTACACATAAGCGCGTTTTTTTTATCAAGGTGGTTTCGCCAGTAGCCCTAATTCACCGCATACCGTACATTTTKTTTACTAAGCATAATTTTATACAATTTAAGGAGAGTTTATTTTTATTTTGAGGTTATATAATAAAATATATAATACTGTAATAATACACTTAGTGTAATGGACAGAGAATCCGAACGAGTAAAGGTAAGTATCAAGTAAGTAAATCATAATCACAGTATAATTACATGTAACAGATCAAATGTAAGCAATTTTGTATGAATACCTGTATCTGTTATACAATTGATTTCAGTTTCATCTTTTGACGTTGATGTTGATTTAATGTTCGACTCATTTATTTTGTCTATATCATGTTCTTTAACTAAAATAAATAAAAATTATTTAAATTAATTATATACAGTTAAATATATTTGTCATAGATAAAATTCAGAAATGATAGTGAATTTGTATGCATACCATCAGGGATATTCTTCTCATCAAATAAATTTTTTTGACAGCATTTACATTCACAATACTAGTTTTGTTCGCTAAACAAATTTTCACCATAACAGTTACCAAAATATTGAGTCATTAACGAAATCAAAAAAAGGTGAAAACAACTTAATACCTAAAATTAAAATTATAAAACATGCAGTGGACAACATAATTACGTGGAATTTTAACAAAGCCTAAATTATTCTATGGAATGTAAGTAAACTATATATATTTATACATTTAAGGAGCATTTATTTTTATTTTGAGGTTTTATAATAAAATATATAATACTGAAATATTACACTTAGTGTAATGGACAGAGAATCCGAACGAGTAAAGGTAGGTATCAAGTAAGTAAGTTATCATACTATGTATGTAATTATGTTATCAGGTTAATTTGATAATAAGAAATACGGGGCCACTCGTTGCAGTGTGACAATAGAGAAGGAAGATTGTTGTGATGCCAGCTCGCGAAATTTTAAATCGTGCCATCGCGGCTCCTAATATACCTCCCACCACTCCACCAATTTAACATGTAATCTTTATCAGAGTTCATGTTTGATATGTCGATATGTTCTGTGATAAGTGCCGTGAATCATGATAACGACCAAAGTTGCCAGATGGGGCGATTTTTCGCCAAAGTGGCGTTTTTGAGCATTCGTTTGGCGTACAATTATTTGATTTGGCGATTGGCTCTTTAAATGGYGATACTTCAAAAATATATGGCGAAAATTGGAGTTCTTAAAGAACTTGCAAGATTATCAAAAATAATTTTTTTTTCATTTTTTTTTTGGAGATAAGATATGTCTGTGATTATACCACGAACTAAGATATAGGTATATCTTAGTTCATGTCACGGACGTATGTACGTCCGTTGTTCATGTATTATAATATGGGACCGTATATTATYTACATTCTACAACCGTGGTAGAACATATGAAGAATTAAAGTTTTATCTATGTCTATTTTAAGATATAAAACCGCCAACAATGATCACAAAAATATGATTACATATTATATGATTTTCGATTCACGATAATAATATACATTAGCATATCTAATAATAATATAATA